ATAAATCTTCAGCTGATGACTGTTGATCTCAGATTTGTTAGTAACTGGAAATTAACTTGCTTGATAGTCTGTGTTGATCCTTCAATTAATACTTCCATATGATATGGAGGAGTATGATGTACTGCAAAGATGATGATAAAAGTTCAAAGGAATGAAAGAACATCTCAATCATATTATTGTTAACTGATGCATACTTATTTTTATGAAACCTTAAGATACCTCTTCCTGCGTTCTTCCTCTACCAAAGTATGACTTCTCTTGGGAATTCAAAATCAGTAAGTCTCCCATCTTATAAATTAACCTAATTTAATAAAAAACAGTAGAGGCAGAAAGGATATGGGAAAGAAAGGAACCATCTGCCCTCTTCAGGGATATGCTGTCCGTAATTAAATCTCTTCTAAAATGATGCGGCCACAAATTATTACTACAATGTGCACTCTGCATGAGTAATTTATGGTTGGGATGGTGAGAATTTCACTAGGTGGATGCCTAGCCTAAACTAAACATGACTTTAGTGTGGTCTGCGCCCTGCTTTCTGTTGAGTGGCTAATGTGCCTGCTTCTAAAAGTAAAAGGAAAAAGAGAACTTATCTCTTAGAAGTCTTGGTGCCTGACTTCCTGAATTTTTACTTCTAACGAAGTTAATAGTTTTTGTTTTCATTTTTTCCTTCTTTTTTTTTCCCCGGTATATTATTGTAGGGAGTCGCACCTTTAGCGCTTAATGTCAGTGAACCAGATCCCACTTTTGATGACGCTTTCTTGCCTTTGACTGCTTCAAAAAGATGCCGATAGGAGTGGCCTTGTCCATCTCATTTGGTTTTGGAGGAACTAACACATCCTTGCTTTTTGCTTCTCCCTCAACAAATGGAATGGATTAAATATTGTATTTTCCTGCTCTAGTTCAGAATTAGAAGCATCATATTATTTCTGGGGTTGGATGACAACCTGCATTACAATCACAGTTCCAAGACAGCCATTTGATTGGCTATCTTGGAAAATTTTGGTATTTTTATGCTCTTTTTTAGTTAGTAACATCATTGAAACTTCTAACATTCGATTTGTTGGGCTTAAGAAAGCCAAGTTGACTACCAATTATTGGTAGCTTGAGCTGTAGATAATTGGGGGGCTTATTGCCCTAATTATTTTTTAATGTGAATCGATAGCTTGTGTTAAGATTGGACAAATATTGGTAACATGATATAGAATGCGTTCCCCAGGGATGAAGAAGAACAAGTACAAGGGATTAAGTATCAGCCAAAGAAAAAAACGGAAAAAGAAAAAGTACAAAGGATTAAGAAAATAATCACAAGCAAGAGACATAGTTGGTCGAACTAGAAACGCAAATGGAAAAACCTAGCTTTTTTACACAAAACACCTCAGCCCGACAAATCTTGCCCCACCAAGTCTTCCAATGTTATCATGGAGAAGGGCTTTGGCAATGGAGGCCACTCACTAGTAAGGGCCTGAGAAACTTGTCGCATGGTTGGTCGATATTGAGGATTGGCTTGCAAGCATACAAGTGCTAGCCTCACGGTGGAGGCCACATGCACCGTTGCCTCACCTGTTGGAACTAATAGTCTTGGGTCTATTAAATCTTTGATCAACATTTGCCGCCAGTTTGGTGGTGTTGAAGACGGTAATGGTGCCAATTGCGATAATAAAGCAGATATCAAATCACTTGGATGTCTTCCCATGAGTACTTCCATTGTGACAACACCAAAGCTATAAACATCACATTTTTCATTCACTTCCATTGTGTAAGCCAGCTCTGTAGTAAGAAGCAAAGTCATAAGAACAACACTAATCAAATTTCCCTAGATGATGTTAAGCAACAAAGTTTATTACCTGGAGCAATGTAGCCAAAGGTACCAGCAACTAAGGACCGGACGGAGGAGTTAGGCTTCAAAATCCGAGCAGTGCCAAAGTTAGAGACATGAGCCTCATACTCTAAATCCAATAAAACATTGTTGCTACTAATATCCTGGTGAATTATAGGGGTTGAACATTCATGGTGCATGTAACACAATGCATTGGCTAGCCCTTTAATCACATTTAGCCTCTTGATCCAGTTTAGATCCATTGCTTCTTCTTCATTGGTAAGAATCTTCCTCAAACTTCCCCTTTCTATAAACTCACAAACTAGAAAAGAATGTTCTGCATTCGAGCAAAAACCATACAACTTGACAATGTTGCGATGTCGTATATTTGTTAAAGAATGAATCTCACTATGAAATGCTCGCAAATTGAC